GAAGAATCACCCGGGTGAAGTTCGATTTCCACCGTCTCGGCCTCGGGCTCCAATTTCTCCCGGGTCTCTCCCTTTGTGATCTCTTGGGAGATGACGTTGACCCCCTTAGTCATCTTTTTAACCGCCCGGGCATAGCACTCCCGGGCATTCCTCTGGTCGCCCCTCACTTCTCCCACACCGCCCGAAGTGTGGAACTTCATGCACAGGTGCGGCATGGAAATCACCGCCCCGACCTTGTTGATGCCAGGCTTTCCAAGGATGGCGTTGTGGACGCATTTGATGTCCACAACGATGAACCGCATCCTCTTCCACACGGTCTTTTCGCCCGATCCTAGTTCGACCGGTAGAACTATGGACCCCTCAGCTTCCACTGTGTCCCCCGTGAAACCTGAGAGAGGAGTTTTGAGGGGTTCAAGTTGTGTCCGACACAACCTGAGTTTTTGGAAGGTCTCCAGGTAAAGGTAAAGGATGTTGACACTGCTGCCGGTGTCAACAAGTACCCGGGCGACGTCCACCCCGTTGATGTCCATGGTGATGACCAATGGATCATTGTGATCCTCACCTGTAGGAGGGAGGTCCCGGTCAGTGAAGACTATTGGCTCCCTCCTGGGATACTTACGCCTGGCCGGTTCGGCATTCACCTCTCCAACGTAAATGCTGCGAACCCAGTTTTTCCGCTGCGCGGCTGAATCTCCGCCCTCGGGTCCGCCAAAGATCATCCCAATATGATCTTTGTCAGGGGCAGGCTGTTGCTCCCTTTGCCGGTTGTTCCTTTGCCGGTCATTGTCCCGGTCACTTCCCTGGGTCGCTGGCCTTACCCATTGATGGTTCTTTTCCTGGGCTTTCTGCAGATAATCCTTGCCCAGTTCTCCGCTGTCTATCATCTGCCGGATTACCCCCTTAACACTCTTGCATTCGGAAGTGCTATGGGAATTTGACCTGTGGTACGAACAATAGGTGCCCGACCACTGACGGCCAGTCTGACCGATAGGATTGTCCGGAGGATTGACCGGTGCTTTCCTGATCTCCTGGCATTCTTCTGAATTGACCACTCGGACTACCGGGTCATAGTGGTGCCTTGGCCGGCTGGGTACCGGCACTTCTTCCTTCTTGACTTTCACCGGCTTAGGCTTGTAACCATGCTCGGCTTCTTTCTTCGCCCGGAGTTGAGTCTCAGCCTCGGCGAACTCCCATGCAGTATGGTAGGCTTCCTGATACGTGGCCGGGGGTTTTCGGCAGAACTCCTTGTAAAGTTCCCCAGCACGCAAGCCGTTCAGGAGGAGGGACAACACCGTCTTGTCGTCCATCTCCTCAACCTTGTCTACCTCCTCTTTCCACCGGGTAAGGAATTGAGTGAGGTTTTCAGATTCCCTCTGCCCGGCTGTACTAAGATAGGTGAATTTCTTCCTCTTAGTACAGTTCTCCTGGAACTTGGCCTTGAACTTTGAGGCCAAGTCACTGAATGAGTCAATGCTTCCTGGGCAAAGCTTGTTGAACCATTCAGTAGCTCGATTTCGCAAAGTTTGGAAGAAAAGGAGGCACTTTTCTTCGTCTGTACAACCATTCATGGTTGCACTCTGATTGAAGGAGTCTAGGTGAATTTCTGGATCTTCCTTCCCGGTGAATCTTGGGGCGTCTATCTTGACCTTTCGTGGGAAAGGTGTCAGATGGACCCTTGTAGTGAACGGGGACCCTGCGAGGGGTTTGTCCCGGTCATTCTTCTCTCCAACCTTCTTCTCCAGCCTCTCTAGCTTTGCCTCCATCTGTTGGACGCGATCATTGCGGGTGGTTAACCGATTAGCCACCGGCACCCTAGGCTGGCTTTCTGCTTCTTCTTCCTGGCGAGAGGCCCTCGTCCTGGCTGGCTCCTGCCTGTTTGACCGGGAGCGTTGGGTGCGTGCAGGCTCGGCCTCCCTCATCTCGCTTAACCGGGCGAAAGCGCTGACATGGGCAACGCTTTGCCCCAGCCTTAGCTTGGCTGATTTTCTCTGGCCCTCCTCTCTATCCCCCAGCCTTTTGAAGGCGGAGTTTCGGGAGGTGGCGGGTCGGATGGTTTTTCCCTTCTTTTTCTTGTGGGTCCTTGGAATGTCCCACTCGTCGTCTCCACTTTCAACCGAGACGCAGTGACCATCCGGAGTGATTAGCGGATTCGTACCTTGCGGGGGACGCGATGGCCCTGCGGCGTTAAGCGCACCAGTCAAGTTGATGGGGGCCACAGCGCTGACTAGCTGCGGCTGGAAAGGTGATGGTTGCGGCACCGGCGTCTGGAATGGCGTCACTGCCATCGGAGCTTGAAGGGGCATCGTTCCAGCACCTGGAAGGGCGAATGGAAACATGCCTGGGAGGAAAGGCATTCCCCCATTCTGTTGGCACATGGCCATGACCTGGCCAAAGCCCTGGATGGCTTGTAAGTTGGCTGGGTCATTCATGAACTGGGTCATGCTTGGTGG